CATTCTGTTTGTTTGTATTGGTTACCTAGTGTTAGGAGAATATTTGGCTTCCCCATTTACATAGTGACATAAAATTTCCTCTAAGTAATTTTTAAAAAGTCAATTTAAAGAAAAATTTAAGTAAATGGTATATCGGTGGTGTCCTGATCTGTAAATAAGAATACTGTCCTTGGATTACTGAGGTTTGGAAAACCGTGATGATTTTACTGATTGTAGCAAAAGGTCAGCCCTCATTAACACACACGTCGTCTTGACCTGCTACTCAGTTTTGTCGTGTATCTTTCCTTGTAGAAGGTGGAAGGCCCTTGAAGGCAGCTTACCCTTCCGTGTGTATCCCCACCCCGCCAACAGGATGTGTTAGTCACCAGTGAAGCCCCGGCTCGGGTGCTGCCCCCACCTCCACCAGCGGTCCCCCCATACCTGGCAGCAGTAGGGTGGGAAAGTAGATAGTCTGAGAAGCTGCACACTTATTCTGTCAGTCAAATAAGTGGCCAGCGAGGGGTGAGTTCTTTAAGAGAGCCTGGTCCCATGCTTGGTTCTTGGAGGGGGATGGCATGGGTTCCAGAAGAAAGAGAATGAGGTTTTTGCCCTCTAGGAGTAATATGCCATCACGCTCTGGAGGAAATGATGCGACACACGTACATGCAACAGTGGGGCTGATTGGAAGAAGTATATACAATGTTAAGTTGTGTGGTACTGGCTTTGGATGCTGAAGGAATAATTCAGGAAAGGGGAGAGAAGTGAAGACCAGTTAATCAATGACAGCTTTAGTGATCAGGCAGAAATCGAGGTTAGCCTTAGTGACACATAGGATTCCTTTTTGGCATCTGGTGGTGTGCACAGAGGTGGAGAACATGGCTCTGAAGTCACAGAGATCTGGATTCAGTTTTCATCCCTATCCTCAGGGACTGTGAACATCTAACTTAACCTTTCTGTGTCTGTTTTGATACGGGTAAAATGGGGAAAGTAATCACGCCTACTTCATGGTTTGATTTAAGGATTGATGAAGGTGAGGTAAGTAAACAGCATTGAGCCCCACTACATAGTAAGTGATCGATGATGAGTAGCTATCATTATTAATCAACCATTCCATTTGTTTATGTAGCAAAAATTTATCGCTTGGTTATTATGTGTCAGGGACTGCCAGGCGTCCCATGTCAGTACCTTGAGTGCTGAGTCCCACAGTTTCCACTTAGGTACAAGACACTTAAAAAGAAAGAAAGAAAGAAAAAAAAGAAAAGAAAAAATAATTAAAAACTTTTCTACATTAAAAGAGATTATCACGTAAGTGAAAAGACAGCCTACAGAATGGGAAAAAATATTTGCAAATCATTTATCTGATAAGGGTCTAGTATTCATAATATGTAAAGAACTTCTATAGCTCAACAATAAAAAGACAAACCACCCACTTAAAAAATGGGCAAAGTTCGGTTCGCTCACTGGCTGAGCATGGTGCTGACAACACCAAGTCAAGGGTTAAGATCCCCTTACCGGTCATCTTAAAAAAAAAAAAAAATTAAAAAAAAAAAATGGGCAAAGTATTGAATAGATATTTCTCCAGAGAAGATACAGAAATGGCCAACAAGCACATGAAAAGATGCTTGACATCATCAGTCATTAGGGAAGTGTAAATCCAAAATGAAATGAGATACCACTTCACACCCACTAGGATGGCTGGAATAATAATAAGGAAAATAAGTATTGGCGAGGATGTGGAAAAATTGGAACCCTCGTACACTGCTGGTGGAATTGTAAATTGTTTCAGAGGCTGTGAGAAACAGTTTGGTGGTTCCTCAGAAAGTTAAACATAGAATTACCATATGACTCAGCAATTCGACTTCTAGATATATACTCAAAAAATTGAAAACAGGTACACAAATATACGTACACAGGTGTTTATAGCAGCACTATTCATGGTAGCCAAAAAGTGGATATGACTCAAATGTCTATCAATGGAAAAATGGGTGAACAGATAGTGGTAGATACATACAATGACATATTATTCAGCCTTGAAAAGGAATGAAGTACTATAATGTGGATGACCCTTGAAAACATTACGATAAGTGAAATAAGCCAGATGTGTCAAATATTGTATGATTCCATTTATATGAAGTTTCAGAATAGGTAAATTCGTAGAGACAAAACAGACTGATAGTTGCTAGGGGTTAGGAAGGGAGAAGAATGGGGAATAATTGTTTAATAGGTACGGAGTTTCCTTTTGGGGTGATCAAAATGTTTTGGAACTAGATAGAGGTGGTGATTATATAACATTGTGAGTATACTAAATACCACTGACTTGTTCACTTTAAAATGGTTAACTTTTATGTGGATTTCATCTCAATAAAAAAAAGTCTACAAAAAAAGTAAAGCTTTCACAAAATTTGGTGCTTTGATTATTAGTAGTAACAGATGCTTGGTAGACACCAGTGTTTCAGGACACTTATCGAGAATTGTTGGCCGGGACCATCTGTCAGGATTACTAGCTGGCTTCTGCTTGCAGTCTCTCCTCTTTGATGAGGGTGGGACCCTAGATCAGGGATCCGTAAGTCAGGTGACTTCAGGGTCCGACTTGTTGGAGTAAATGTTTGAGGTCAGCTGGGTGTAGGGCAGCAGGGAGTAGGGGGGATTAGGTGGCACTGGGCTGTACCTGTACTACCTAAAGGCACTCACATTCAGACAAACTGTCCCGGCTGGTTCTTGCCTAGCCCCTCATTCTGTCATTCCTATTAAGCCATCTGACAAATATCAAACTTTATCTTCCTTACTGCACCCTGCCCCAGCCACGTGGAGGTTTGGGGTGACAGGATTGAACCCCATTGAATATGTAAGGGGAAGGGTTCACTCTGAATCTTCTGCTGACTGGCCACTCAGAAGTGGTCAGGAGCTGGTGGCCGCCTCTGTAGAGGGAATGGTGGGTTTCTTTAGTGTCACTTTCTCAGAAATTTGAGTGCCTACTTGTCTGTTTTCTCTGCCAGAGGAGAGGGCAGAGAGGCAAGGAAGAGTCTGGGAAGATTTTTAATAGGCGAGATGGAGAAAGGTTTTTTTGTTTTTAAATCTGCCCAAGTGTCCAGAGGCCTACACCTGCTCAAGATGCTGGAACCTTGGGCTGGGGAGGGGTGTGTCAGGGGAGTGGGGGAGAGGGTGTGGAGGAAGGAGGCTTAGTCCATTAGCTCTGGGAGTGGCTGGTGCTGTTTTCCTTTGTGTCTCCAGCTCTATTATTGCTAGTAATCCCTCTTTACTGCTAGGATGGAGCGATCTTTGGTCCACATTCTTTCAATATTTAACAATTGAGTGCACATTTGGGAAGGGGCATACTAAGAGGAGTATAGCTGTGTGAGTTAAGGGACCTGCGCATGACCCCTGTCCTAAAATTTCCACCCCCACACCTCAAAAGAAAAACCCTCATGGTACCCAAAGTACCAGTCTTGCAGATTCCTTTCTTTAGATATTGGAAGAGTTTGAGCTCTCAGAGAATCTTCTACAGCAAATCCCTCTAAGAGAGGTAAAAATGAAGCTTTGTTTCACCCAGTGGGGGTGAATGGAGAACCAACTGAGGGAGGGTGAAGCCTAATGGGAAGACCTGTGGGGTGACCCAGCACACGCAGGGCTGAGAATGAATCTGCGTTTTTCGCTGTTTACCTAGATAGAGCTGGCACGGATAGCTGGCTGGTGGAATGGAGTTAACCTTTTTTCTAGTTGTTAATCTGTCTTCAGTAGATACTTCTTCCTGCACTCCCCATTTCCACTTGAATGGCAGGGATGAGGAGAGAATCTTTCTTCCTTCTCTGAAATCCCACGTACAGAGCTCTGAATTCCAGGTGACTCATGTCTGGCCACAAGAGGTTGTGCTTGCACAGGGCCTTTGGATCCATCCCACTTGTGAGAATGTGGGCTAGGATTCCACATACCCGAGGAGCTAGCTAGCTGCCCACTCAGGCAGAGTCCCTTGGCTTAGCTTATAGCACTTCAGTTAACTACTGTCTTTGCTCTTTTTAGCAAGATTGGCTTCCACCAGGGCACATTGATCTCTGGGACCACTATTTGGGTGAGGTGGCTGCCCCAGGGAAACTAAGATGACTCCAATACAAAAGTGCATTGGTGTTAGAACTTGGGAGACAGGGCCCAGAGTATAACTGATTCAGTTCCTCCTTCCTGGGACATGTTCACAGAGAGCATTGTGGGTGTGAACGTGTGTGCCGCTGGCATCCCCAACTTGCCAGCCACTTCTCAATGGGTGGGGGTGAGTTGCAGGATTAAGTAGAAATCTCAGAGCCCAGAAGACATGCTATCTTAAGAATTTAGATAAAGTAACATGGAGAGGTTCGTGGATACTGTCCAGACGCTGTCTGAAACCTTGAAAATCTAACTGCACCTCCAGTCCCTGTGATGTGTGAGTGGTTATAACGCACGGGTGCCCTGGTAGACAGGAAGTCCAAGTAGCCATTCCTCAGAAGGGTCAGCTGTGACTGACAGCTCCTCTTTCACAGACTGCGAATGGGTGGTATGGTATGAAGGCTGAGAGAGCAGGCTCTGGAGCCAGGCTGCCTGAGCTTTGGTCCTGGCTTATTAGTTGGGTGACCTTGGGAATTGATTTAATGGTGCTTTATCTCAGTTTCCTCATCTGTAAAATGAAGATGGCCATAGGACCTGCCTTGTAAGGTTGTTAAGAAGATTAGAGATAAGGCCTATAAAATATGTGGCACAAAAATGGATGCAAGCTGGCTGATGAGCTCAGTTGGTTAGAGCGTGGTGCTGATAATATTAAGGTCTGGGGTTCCATCCCTGTGCTGGCCAGGCAAAAAAAGAACCAAACCCCCCCAAAACAAAAATACGAATGCATTGTAGGTGTCTGAAAAATGATGGCTCCTACCATTGATCCACGGTAGCTGAATGGTGGGGCTTGCAGGAGAGGCCAGGAAGATGGCAGGAGCATTCTGTATTCAGCGGTTTCCCTGTGTTTAATGCACTCTGGTTTCTTCTGTATTCCTTTCCTTGCCCAGTATTGATCCTCCAGAAGGTGGAGAATGGAGACCTGAGCAACAAGATTCTGAAGATCACTGATTTTGGCCTGGCTCGGGAATGGCACCGAACCACCAAGATGAGTGCGGCAGGCACATATGCTTGGATGGCACCTGAAGTCATTCGCGCCTCCATGTTTTCCAAAGGCAGTGATGTGTGGAGGTAAGGTCTAGAGGTGCAGGGACAGTGCTCCCCAGGTCTATTGTGCCTACACACATGCTTCAGGACTCTGAGAACTGAGAGTACATAGAATCCCAGGCACCATAAGTAGGTCTAAGGGATCCCCTCAGTGCAATCCATGTTAATTCCTACATTGCCAGGGGACATTTTCCAATGCTTTATCTACCAGAAAATCCCTCCAGTGCTGTGGTAAGTGCCACCTCTATGCAGGTCCCTTTGTGTTAGTGATTGCTCCCTAGGAAAGGCCAATAGATTCCAGGGGTAACGTTACTCCCATCTCTGACCTGTAGGATGGTGGGGGCACTCAGTCCCTCCTGGAGACCTTCCCCAGATCAGCCTGGCTTGCTCAGAACAGTGCTAGGCTTTAGTGGCTGTTACTGCTGGACTTGGGAAAGCAGTTAACCCAGTATCCTCTCTGTAAACTCCTGAGCTGATGAGTATTCTTTGTGCTATCTCTTTTTTTCTTGGTGGCCTGGAAATTATCCTTTCCAGTTACCCAGTTAATCTTTTAGTAAGGCTCTGTCTATTGAACATTGATCTAGAAATGAGAAAACAGTGGGTCCCAAGCATGCACCAAGAACTGTGTAATCACAGACTAGACATGACCAACCACCCTCCTAGTGAATATCAGCCCAAGAGGTCACAAGGACATTGATCTAAAAAAATCTCATCCCCATTGAGGAGGATGAGCAACTACAGAGTATACATCCTTATGCCTGTGGGAGTATTACCTTGGTATACAAAAGGAGGGACTGTAGGTTATGATTGTACATAGTGAGTGAAATTATTGCTTCCTGATGTGTTGTAAAGCAAGCTTCTGTGTGTATGTATGTGTGTATGTGTATATGTATATGTGTGTTTTAAAAAATAATAGCTTTATTGAGATTTATTCACATACCATAAATATTACTAGATATGTAATTCCATAGATATTATTCATCCTTTATACACTTTAAAGTGTATAAGTCAATGGTTTTTAGTATATTTACGAAGTTATGCATCGATCGCCATTGTTATTAGTTTCCTAGGGCTGCAAAGGATTTGAATAGACATTTCAAATTACCAGTAACAAATTACCACAAACCTAGTGGCTTAAAGCAACAACAGTTTATTCTTTCATAGTTCTGGAGGCCAGAAGTCTGAAATTGGTGTTGGCAGGACCACACCCTCCAGAGTCTGTAGGGGAGATTCTATTCCAAATAAGGATTCTGGGTTTTAGGACTTGGACATATCATTGTAGGACCACCATTCAGCCCACTACTACCACTATTTCCAGAACATTTTTATTACTCCCGAAATAAACCTCATATTTGTTAGCAGTCATTCCTCAATTCCTGTTCCCTCACAACTATTAACTTACTTTTTGTCTCTGTGGATTTGCCTGTTCTGGACATTTCACATAATGGAATCATACAATATGTGGCCTTTTGTGACTGGCTTCTTTCATTTAGTATAATGGTTTCAAGGTTCACCCACATTGTAGCCTATATCAGAATGTCCTTCCTTTTTTTAGCTTAATAATATTCTATTGTATGGATAGACCACATTTGTTTATCCATTCATCAGTTGATGGACATTTTTTTACCACTTTTTGGATGCTATGAATAATACTGCTGTAGACATGGTGTACAAGCTTGTGCGTGAACATATGTTTCCAGTTCTCTTGGGAATGTACCTAGGTGTGGAATTGCTGAGTCACTTGGTAATTCTGTTTAACTTTTTGAGGGACCACCAAACTTTTTCATCACGGCTACATCATTTTACATTCATTCCCATTAGCAATGTATGAGGGTTCCACTTTCTCTACATCCTTTTAACACTTGTTATTGTCTGTTTTGTTTCGGTTTTTTTAATAGCAATCCTAGTGGGTGTGAAGTGGTATCTCATTGTGGTTTTGATTTGCATTTCCCTAAATAACTAATGAATGATGTTGAGTATCTTTTCATGTGCTCACTGGCCTTTTGTGTATCTTCTCTGGAGAAATGTCTGTTCAAATTCTTTACCTGTTTAAAAATTGAGATATTTTCCTTTTATTGTTGAGTTGAAAGAGTTCTTTATATATTCTGGACACAAGTCCCTTATCAGATATGTGCTTTGCAAATATTTTTTTCCATTCTTTGGATTGTTTTTTTACTTACTTAATGGTGTTTTTAATTTTGATAAAGTTCGGTTTATCTATTTTTTCTTTTGTTGCTTGTGCTTTTGGTGTCATGTCTAAGAAACCACTGCCTAATCCAAGGTCATGAAGATTTATATCTATGTTTTTTCTAAGAGTTTTATAATTGTAGTGCTTATGTTTAGGTCTCTGATCCATTTTGACTTAATTTTTATATGTGGTTTGAGGTAAGGGTCCACCTTTTTTTCTTTCATGTGGCTATTCATTTGTCCCAACACCATTTATTGAAAAGACTATTTTTTTCTTAATGAATTGTCTGCTCATCTTTGTCAAAAATCAATTTAGCAGAAATGTAAGGGCTTATTTCTGGATTCTCAGTTCTACTCGATTGATCTTTTTATCTATTCTTATGCAGGCACCACACTTTCTTGATTACTGTAGCTTGTAGTAAATTTGAAATGAGGAAGTGTGAGTCCTTCGATTTTATTCTTCTTTTTTAAGATTGTTTTGGTCACTGTAAGTCCCTTGCATTTCCTTATGAATCTTAGGATTGTATCCAGAATAGATAAAGAACTTTTTCAACTTAACAATATAAAGAAAATACTCCCAATTTTAAATTTTGTTAATTTCTGAAAAGTAGGTAGCTAGGATTTTGGTAGGAATTGAATCAAATCTGTAGAATTCTTTGAGAACTATTGACATCTTAATAATGTCTTCTAGTCCATGAACATGGGACATCTTTCTACTTAGTTAGGCCTCCTTTAATTTCTTTCAATGATGTTTTGTAGCTTCAGTATGTTGAATCTTATTTCTCCATACATTAATTACAGGGTGAAGTGGCTAATGAAAAGAAATGAGTTTTTGTTTCCTTTAAATATCTGACCTGATCTTGTTAGGTTGAGCTGTATACTGATATTTAACTGTTTTTGATTTATAAAAACAGCAGTTTCATGTTTCAATTTAACACTTTCTTTGACCATATGCTAATGAGATTAATTATCATATTAATTAAGCTAAGCTGCTGTTTTAAAGAGATCTACAGATATGGAGTTTGAATAAGATAGACGTGTATTGGGCCGGCCCGGTGGCACACTGGAGAGTGCGCCACTTGGGAGCGCGGTGGCGCTCCTGCCGAGGGTTCGGATCCCATGTGGAGACCGGTTCCTGCTCACTGGCTGAGCGCGGTGCAGGCGCAACACTGAGGGTTGCGATCCCGTTGCCGGTCCCCGGTACGGGCGCGACACCGAGGGTTGCGATCCCGTTACCGGTCAGTAAAAAAGACAAAAAAGGAAGAAAAAAAAAAAAAATAGATGTGTATTTGTCTTTCAAGGAGTAGTCCAGACAGTCCAGGCTGGCAGGGCAGCTGTGTTCCGTGAGATCATTCAGAAACCCAGGTTCTTTCAGCTTCTTTCAATGCATTGTCTGTGTCTGAATGGTTAAATCCAAGTGATTGTTACTTCTGTATTATAGTCTTCAATAGAGAAAAGAGATCTTATGATTTAAAGGCAAGCAGCTTGTCTTTAATTTGGAGATAGTTCAGAAGTTGTACACATCTCCTCTGAGCGTGCCCCATTGCCTGCACTTGGTTATGTGGGCATACCTGGCTCCAAGGGAGGCAGATAAATGTAGGCTGTAGCTGGACCATTCTGTGCCCAGCTGAAACTCTTATTATGGAAGAAGGAGAAGAGGGGATTTGGGGGGCGATCAGCCACTCGCCACATTCAACTTTCTTTTATCTTTCTTCTCTGTTACATGATTGTTTTCTACTTTCAATATTTCTGCTAGGCTTCTTCTCCCAGCCTGACCTTGAAATTGCTCAGGTTTTATTGTCACAAACTCCAAAGGTTTCTGCTGGTGATGATTTGGACAGAGTTGCCTCAGGTTATCCAGGCACATTCTTAGTGGAAAGGAAAGCAAGAATGCCTAATGTAGAGCTTCTCATGGTGACAGAAATGGTAGGTATGGAAACACAATGTCATTGTAAGGGTTTATCTTCCATGGAAGGAGTAAGGCAGGACCTTTCAACTTTTACCCAGAGTATCCTTGTTCCAAGAGTAACCTGCAGGTCTTGTCCTTCAACTACAGATCCTAAGAGTAGGCTTGAAGACTTCTGGTGAGAGATATCTGATGAAATTACCCTACTCTGTAAAGGGAATAGCTTGGAGGTAAACCCCAATCAGCAGCATTTTAGATGAAGTATCTTGGATATGGTCCCACGTTTAAAATTGTTCCCAGCACTTAAGCTTCCTGATCCAGTTTGGTTGATGAATGTGGTTTGAAAACATAAGTCACCCTGCACCCTTTCAGCTTCCTTAGCTTTCATGCTGGAGGATTTCCTTCAATACACAATTTATCGAACCTATTAAATGGGACTTTAATCCCTCCCTCCTCAAGCCTACCTATCTAAGTGACTCCAAATGATCTCTCACCTTTCCCATAGGAAATTGTGTTCCTAACATTACTTGTACACTGGAAACAATATTTACCACCTGTGAATGCTTAAGGGCTAGCTAGGCTGTATGCTAAATGCTGTACATCTTTCATCTCATTTATTCCTCACAAGAATTCCCAAAAGTAGGTGTTGTTATTCCCATTTTACAGATGAGGTGACTGAGGCTCAGATGGTTTGTCATATGCCTAAGTTCCCCCAGGTAGATATAAAGCTGTAGTTAAAACTAGATATGTGTCACTTGAAAGTCTGTGCTATAGCTGTTACCATCTATATTCTCTGTTCCTGAACTTTGGGCTACCTCTTCCAGGATGATTGGCCTTCCATACCTGGGAGCCAGCAGGATATCCCAGAGAGGGCTGAAGCATGCCTAGGAACTTGGTGCAATGCTGGTTCCCAAATTGACTTGTGATTTGTTTATTCATTTGTTTATTCAAGAAATGTTGAATGCTTACTCTGTGCCAGGTACCAGCCTGAGTCTGAGTCCCCACTTCTCTTCTTCCCTGCTGGAACGCATCCAGGGCCTGAGATCTCTGGGCCTCTGCCATGGCCAGTGCCCAGGGCCAACTGAGTTTGTCTTCCTGTTCCTCGGGTATTGTTCTGCGGGTCTCCTCCACACACGTGATGGAGGATGAGATGATGGTGGCCTGGGTCCTCAGCTACATAAATTACCCAGTCTGCTTGGATTGGGGACTTCCTCAGGAAGAGCAGTTGCTGAAGTCTTTCCCTGTGGTTGTGCTGTGCAGGGGAGCAGTGGTTACAGCCAGAGGGTGTCATCGCAGAAGGACATCTTGCCTATTGTATGTGGAATGAGGTGGAGGCATTTTCTTAATCATTTTAAATTTTTAAAATTACAATAGCAAAACATGTTCCATATATATATATAAAGTATAGATAAACAAAAAAGAAAAGAGAAGAAAAGAAAATTACCCTAAACCCACTCATAGCGATATATTGATATTTTGGTATATTTACTCCTACTCATGTGCTCATCTACCAACCCCTTAAGAGGCGATCATTCTGCTTTGTAAGCTGCTTTTTGAATGAAATGTAGCATGAACACATTGCCAGGTTAGTAGGTATGTTGTTAGGTCAGTAAATAAGTGGAGGACAAGAGTGGCTCTAAGCTAGGAATCTGGTCAGCAGTGCTGAGGGTTCTTAGAGGTCACATGGTAGAAGCTGCCCAGCATGACTGCTCTCTGGATAAGTCACATTAAAGGTTATCAGGAAGTGTATTAATACAATTCTTGATGGTGTTCAAGGCTTACTTTAAAGTAAGAGTAACAGTAACAGCCTGCAGGACCATCTGACCATGCACTGATTCCCATACCCACCCACCAACTCACTATGTATGAATCCCTACTGCATACCAGAGCCTGGGCTAGGCCCTGAGAATGCAAAGATTAAAAACTACTGTCCCCGTCCTTTAGGAAGGAGCCCACAGGCTGCTAAACAAACAGCTAAAATACATACATGGCAGCCCAAACAAGGGCTAAGTAACACCTGGGGATGTCAGGGAAGGCTTCCTAAAGTGTCCGACATTGTTCCCTTCAGCATCCAACTAAAATCCAACTGCTTGTCTAGATAAGTCAAGACCTGCAACTGTCTACCAGGCTTTTTTCCTGTCAAGTTACATAAAGAAAATGATAGTATTTGGAGGCCTCATCATGGTAAGCCACTATCAAAGGAGAGAGACTGGCCAGGCCACTCTGAGTGTCCATATGTGGCCCCTGGATGCCCTGCCACATTGGTTGGCACATTATTCTTTGGAGCCATGCCAGACCACTTGGGATCCTTTTGGGGCAAGCCCCTGCCCTTGACGGCTTGTCTCAGTGCATGCCCCTCCCTGTCTCTGGAGCACTGGCCCCCCTCCTTCATTTAGCAGTGATGAGAGCAGAAGGGCTGTCTTCTGCTATCATCCTTATCTGGCTTAAGTGACCCTCCTTTGTGTCCTCATAGTATCTCTGTGTGACTCATCATTCTATATTCTAGTTGTCTTCTTTTCTATACCTCTCACTAATCTCTTTGTGGATGTCTTTTATCCTGTATCCCAATCCCTGGCATTGAGCTTGATACACAGCACATACTTAATAGATGTTTAAAATGAAAGAATGAGTAAATGGCAAGAAATTTGAGTTGGATCTTGAGAGATAATTAGTAGTTGTCTTCTTTTCTATACCTCTCACTAATCTCTTTGTGGATGTCTTTTATCCTGTATCCTAATCCCTGGCATTGAGCTTGATACACAGCACATACTTAGTAGATGTTTAAAATGAAAGAATGGGTAAATGGCAAGAAATTTGAGTTGGATCTTGAGAGATAATTAGAGTTTACCAATCAGAGAAATGGTAGAAGTGCGTTCTAGAGAGGCCATTCACTAGAAGTTGGTCCAGGATCCACCATGATGTACTTCATGTATGCCCTCAGGATGTGTCACTCTATCTACCTAAAACCTTCTCTCCTCATTTGCAAAATGATAATACTTACCTTGCAGGCTTGCTGTAGGGATTCAAGATGATGATTGTAAAGTGCATTAGCACTCTGCACATACAAGGTATTGTGATAAATGGATACTGGGCTTATTGCTATTTTCAAAAATTAATATGATTTTTGTTGCTGGTTGCAGACTACTGATGAGTATTACAAGAAATTTGAGGTTGGTGTTGAAAATATAAGGAGAGCCATTCTTCTGACTGTTGATAGCTTTATGATTTCTTGTCCTGACTTATTCTTAGAAGGATTGGAGGTTTTTGCTTCCAAAACCATGATTTTGCCTGGTTCTGATTGTGAATTGGTAGAATAATTCTTCCTCTAAGTTTTGTTCTTTACATTCTCTGACTCACAGAACATAGGAAGAATTCTTTATGTGGATTTCAAAGGTAGGGCAGGCACAGTGAAGTTCTCACAGCTGACACACTGCTCTGCTTGACCGATGTGGTCTACCCCGGTGAAACTTTTCCCTTTGAGTTAGACAAATGTCTCTGTTAGGGATTGTTGCATGCTGATCTGGGGCAGGAATCTATTCAACCAAGTGGGCAATTAAAGAAATCTTTTACAGGAGCAAACTTTGTTTTGAGTGGTCAGCTCTTTGCTTTCTAAAGCTTAAAAAATGTGTCTGTGTCAGAAGCTGAAGTTCTTTTTTAAAATAGAAAAAAATTGTACTTGTGAGGCTGCCTCTTTTCCCATGTTATTTCATTAATAATGATGACGACAACAACATAGCTGTGGCCATTGAGCACTTATTTAAACCCTCTAGTATTTAATTTAATTTAATTTTGTGATAGCTCTGTGAGACTGGTAGCAGGTGAGGAATTAGAGGCTTGGAGAGATGTAGAACTTGCCCAAGGTCACATAGCTAGGGAATTATGGAACAAGACTTTGAAACCAAGTACGCTTGACTCCAGAGGTTTTGCTTTTAGCTAGTAGGTTTTATTGCTTCTCTCTTATATCGCATTAGTATTGTCTATTTCATTAGTCTCTCTTTGTGTTGGGGCGAATGTGAGATGCTCAGAAAAGCCTCATGAGCTATTTCAGTGAGGTTGTACCAGTGGTTTATTATGTGGCTTCTGTCTCCTTCCTCTCCTTAGCTATGGGGTGTTGCTTTGGGAGCTGCTGACCGGCGAGGTGCCCTTCCGAGGCATTGATGGCTTAGCGGTAGCTTATGGAGTGGCCATGAACAAACTCGCCCTTCCTATTCCTTCCACTTGCCCTGAACCTTTTGCCAAACTCATGGAAGGTAAGTAACCCCTGTCCTGAACAAGACTGGAGACAGTTTGTTTACCTTCTTATGAGCACTTGGTAGATTTTGGCCAATTCTACAAGATCAGTTACTGAAAGAGGAGATAAAATGTTAGTCACCAAGGAGGAATCCTGTGGGCAATGGGAAGACCTACCTCAAAATGATGTCCACACCCAGCTGCAGCAGGTCCCTCTGTCCATCGCCAGTGACTGTAGACGTTAACTTGGTAACTAAAGCCTGCTCTCCAGCACTTCAGTATACAGCCAGGTGCTGCGTAATGGCGTTTTGGTCAATGACGGACCACGTAAATGGTGGTGGTCAGAACAATAATCTGGGTGTGTAGCAGGCTGTACCATCTAGGTTTGTGTAAGTGCACTCAGTGTTCACACAATAACGGAGTCGCCTAACTACATGCTTCTCAGAATGTATTCCAGTCGTTAAGTGATGCATGGATGTATTATTTAACACAAAATAAGAACATACAACAGCTTTTATTTCAGGATCCCTGAGTGTCTTATATATAGAAATGAAGAACATCTGAGAGGAAAGTGACTTTAAAAGTCAGCTAGTGAGAAATCCAGAGCTGAGAGAGGTTAAGTATGGGTGGCCTCTCTATTAGTTAGTGGCTGAGCTGGGGTCAGATAGACTTTTCCTGACTTCCACTCTAATGCTTTGTATCCTCGCCTCCTCATCATTCTATTGAGGTGGGGGAAGGGTAACTTATTTATTTTGGGGAAATTGAGGCACAGGGTGTGGTTACCCATTGTCAGGACTTGAGCCTTGTAGTAACATGGTAAATTATGTTAGCAATACTTTACACAAGAAAAGTCTTTGGGCTTGCTTTTCTTGTACTTAACAGTCATAATTGGGTGAATGCTGCATTTTGTCTTTAGTTTCACTGTTTATGATTGTGGTGGGGGGCAGCTTGCTTTACCTCCTGAGCCCTACTTGGAGATAATTAGAGAGCAGGGGTTATCTAAATTCTAATCTCTGTTTCTGGAGGGAGACATGAGAGGTAGTTTTATGGTCAGTGAGGTCACGTGATATCCTAAGTCTTTTGTTTGCCTCTGTCTGTTCATGCTGTCTGTTTACTCACATGTTCCATTCAGACTGCTGGAATCCTGACCCCCATTCACGACCATCTTTCACGAGTATCCTGGACCAGCTGACTACCATAGAGGAGTCTGGTTTCTTTGAAATGCCCAAGGACTCCTTCCACTGCCTGCAGGATGACTGGAAACATGAGATTCAGGAGATGTTTGACCAACTCAGGGCCAAAGAAAAGGTAAAAAAAAAAAAAAAGAAAATTAAAAAGAGAAAAAAAGGCATGCATTGGATTAGTGGACCCCACTGGGGCCACTGGACTGAGTCTGACCGATCACTCTGATTCTGATGTGATTGTCTTCTTGCTTAATATCTACTTAATTGTCCAAACCGGCGGAGGAGCACCACTGGGCATTTACCAGTGGGTGTCTCACCCTGCCAGCTGAGAATATGAGAGGGTTCTAGAAAGATTTTTTGGTTCTACAGTGGACTTCTACAGAAGGCTAACTTGATATAGGGATACTTGGGCATTGAGAGGTGTCCACATAAACTTGGTTAATTTCTTTTTTCTCTTCTCACTCTACACTATAGCGGCTCCATATTATAGCAGCTAAAATTATATATGACTTTATAGTTTCCCACTTTTTTCATTTGAAAAGTCTGATGAGAGCTTTTTATCCTTATAGAAATCTTGTGGCTCCTGCCACCAGTGTGTAGGGCAGATGTTGTCATTTCCATCTCAGAGCTGAGAGTCAGTGACTTGTCTAAAGTCACAGAGCTAGTAAGTGGGAAAGCAGAACCTCGAATCTGCGCCTTCTGATTCCAAAACCTATATTCTTTGTAATATTGTTGTTGTTCCCCTACACAAATGAGTAAAAAATAATTTCTGGGGCTGATTTGAAAAGATTCAGTTCTTTTTATGGAACATAGCAATCCTAAATGCAGTCCTATTTGGCAAGTCAGTGAGCATTCTGCAAGGGAATGAAGTGAGCTTATGATGAATCTTTAGGGACCCTGATGGGTGGACCTGCATTGACCGTTGAACAGAATGGTTACAAGAGAGTGCTCCTATTTATTTTGATTGCCGAATCACTGACTCCTGTTTGCCTTTTTTTTGACTGATGAAATTATAAGGGTACCACCCACTTAGAACAATGAAAGTTGGATTTTGTCAGTAAGTAGTTACTAGGAAAAGTCAAACCCATTCTCATAATAGCTAACATTCGTAGAAAGTGTCCTATGTGCCATGCTCTTATAATTTAAATGAATTGTAATAAGATAATAATAATAAGCTAATGTAACAAGAATTGTCTTACATCTATAATGTCTGTGCTGTTAACTCCATATTATATGTGATGCCCATATTAACTTGCCCAAGACCACATAGTTAATGATGGTGAGCTGGGACCTGAATTCAGGCAGTTTGTTCCAGAGTCCTTGCTCTTAACCACCATACTATGGTGCCTCTCTGTTATAAGACCTGTGGTTTGGCAAGTGAGGGTAAGATGTATAATGAGATTTTTCTCTGGAGAGATTCCTGTTAAGTCATTCTGTATATGGAGGATGTTATTTGCATGCTGTGTAACACAAAAAGGCATTTCACAAGTAGCGTATTTACCACATTTGAGGGTCTTCCAGGACATTGTGTGTATACTCTGCAAATGTGCTGGTTTGCCATGTAATTCAGCTAATTCTTCAGGCTGGCTCAACCTACTGCTTCCAGGTATTGTGAGGATGGATAGTCTCTAGTCTGGGGTTTGAGCTCCCATAAAGAAAGAGGCTTAGACACAAACCATCTCTTAGACAACAGCATGAAGGAGATGAGGACTTGGGAAAGTTGAAATTAGCTTGAATTTTTTAAACTTTTCCATTTAACAGCTAAATCAACCAACCAGGAATAATTTTTATGCATATTCTATGTGTTTTTGTTCTCCTGATGGTGAGAACAAAAGTAGTGGGACAGGAGAACCAAGGATTTGAAGCATCCACAACAGTTAGTTGGTTTGAGGCTTATTTCATCAAAAAAGGAGAAGTTCAAAAGTTCGAGTTCAACTCTCGAGAACTTATGATGAACTATGTTCCCATAAAGGATTGCGTTATGAAATTGTCCTATATCTCCCTATTGTTTCTCATTCATTTTTTTGTTGACTCAATAGTTATTCAACTACTGAGCACCTGCCATGTACCAGGTACTTTTCAAGGTGCTAATCCTCTTGTCATTTCTCTCCTTTCTATCACTTTTATGGCTAATTTGACATGCTCTTGGGTATGAATGAAAAGTTCGTAACATCAGAATATTTTATCCATACCTTGTCTCTGTTCTCTCTTCTGCTCTCTCCCTGTTGCTCAGCTTCCCCCCTATGTGTTTGCATGCATTTTTCTAGCTCCTGGTTCTCATTCTATACTATTTTGTTTTGGCCCAGAATAACTTCTCATAGTGCAGTATTTCACTGAGAAATTAAGTTTCGACCACAGAAATGTTGCTGTGGCTACTTTATTGAAGAAGTGTCCTGCTTTTTAGATGTGGTTCTCTCAGGTTATTGACATTAAGGCTTCTTAAGTTTTAGTTCTCCACCTGCACCCCACTTCAGCCGTAGGCCCAGGGTAACCACTGTTAACAGTTTGGATTCCAGATTTTTTTTTTATTTTATTTTTTTAAAAAGATGACCGGTAAGGGGATCTTAACCCTTGACTTGGTGTTGTCAGCACCACGCTCACCCAGTGAGCGAACCGGCCATCCCTGTATGGGATCCGAACCCCGGGCCTTGGTGTTATCAGCACCGCACTCTACCGAGTGAGCCACGGGCCGGCCCAGGATTCCAGATTTTAAAATAGTGTATACATGCTTTGTTTTCCTTCCTATTTTCTCTTCTGTTTCCTTTTTTTTTTTAAAAGATGACCCGTAAGGGGATCTTAACCCTTGACTTGGTGTTGTCAGCACCACACTCTCCTAAGTGAGCTAACCGGCCATCCCTATACAGGGATCCGAACCTGTGGCCTTGGTGTTATCAGCACCACACTCTCCCAAGTGAGCCACGGGTCGGCCCTTTCTCTTCTATTTCTGATTCCATATCCCCCATCCTCTGCCCAGAATCTCAGTGCTGGGCTCATTTATAAATTCACACAGGAGGGAAAGAGGAGGCAGGGAAGAGGTTCTGCCCACCTGCTGTAGCTCTCACCTCCATTCTCAGGGCAAGATAAAAGGAACTTTTCTTGAGTCACAATATGGGATTCCAAATGGGGCCCTCTGGCTTTCTGGTTTCAACTCTCCCCCGAGCAGTGTGAGTGGCTGTCCTCAAGATGCTGCAGAGGCATGGGCTGCTCTGGGTGACATCTTCTGTGTTCATTGAGCAGTTAGTTTCAGGGGTGTATGACAGAACAGCAGGCAAGTTTGGTTCTAGAGCAAGCACCTAGCAAGGACCTCAGGAAATGCTCTTTCTCCTTGCTGTGCTCCCACAATCCTTCCAGAGCTGATCATTGTCCTTTAAGATAAGGTGAGAATTGAAGCCACTTGCCTCAGTGGATTCATTCAGAAGGGAACAAAGATTTAGATGACATGCTTCACATACCTTGCAAACTGCCACCCTGGAAGTATATTTATTTTTATTTGAATATTAGATGTTGCCTGGAGGGTGATTCATTTACTGGACACATTTTGAGCTAGATCATGCTAAGTTGGCTCTGATTTTTTAAAAAATCCTTTATGTAATAGAAAAAATTAAATAGAACCAAATCTGTAAAATTCAAATACATGATTATATTTTGTATCCAAAACCCTAAGGCTGGCCAGTTAGTTCACATGATTAGAGCATGGTGCTGATAACACCAAAGTCCAGGGTTCAATTTCTGTACCAGCCAGCCACCAAAAAACAAAAAAATATAACAACCAAAACACTATGTTTTTCAATCACAAGCAATTTTAATCAAGAATTAAGGAGCACTAGAAACCTCCAGCCCACTTCTCTGGGGCTTGGCTGTAGCTTTAGCTTCTCTGGCTTTGTCTGCATTATGACTGTTCTGAGCCTTCCTTTTTCCACCATTCAAGGTGGTCAGGTGTTCATTTACCAGCTGACTCTCCACCCAGCATCCTAGGTGTCTTAGACCTTTTTTGTTGCTTATAACAAAATACATGGAACTTGGTGATTTATAAAGAAAAATGACATTTATTGCTTACAGTTTCTGAGGCTGGGAAGTCCAAAGTCCATCTGGTGGTGGTGACAGTGACTCAGGGGTCTCACATTGCAAGATGGTGGAAGCAGAGAGAGCAGAGGGAGAGGGAAAGACAAATTCTCCTCTTGTTTTAAAGCCCTTGGAACCACACCCCTGACCACCATTTTTAATCCATTCACTACTTCAGGTCCTATAGTCTAATCACCTCTTCAAGGCTCCACCTTTCAATGACCGTAATAGGATTTCCCACCCTCTTAACAGTCACAGTGGGGGCTAAGTTTCTAATACGTAGAACTTGTGGGGACACAATTCAAGCTTCAAGGAGTTTTGGGGGGACATAATTCAATCCACTACACTAGGAGAGCTGTCCAGGCTGTCAGGAGCACCATCCCTCCAGGAACTCCCACCCCAGACACTCCTCTCTGCCGGTTCCGCCTGCCTGTAGGAGCTGCGCACCTGGGAGGAGGAGCTGACGCGGGCTGCGCTGCAGCAGAAGAACCAGGAGGAGCTGCTGCGGCGTCGGGAGCAGGAGCTGGCGGAGCGGGAGATCGACATCCTGGAACGAGAGCTCAACATCATCATCCACCAGCTGTGCCAGGAGAAGCCCCGGGTGAAGAAACGCAAGGGCAAGTTCAGGAAGAGCCGGCTGAAGCTCAAGGATGGCAACCGCATCAGCCTCCCCTCCGGTAGGTGGCTGGGGACCGCTGGGAAGTGGGAGCAGGGCAAGGAGCTGGCGTGGCCGGGGGTGTGGGATCGGGGACTGACCCTGGCTCTCAAAATGGAACCTGTTTGAAATAGGCCATTCTCTTCAGTGGAAAGACTAGCTTGCTGTAGGTCTGCCCCAGTCCAGGGCAACTGTTGAGTGTGAGTAAACACAGAATTTGAAGTGAAGACAGACTAGCATGGGCCAGGCTGCTAGACGCATGGCAGCTCACGCAGGCACATCTCACTTTAGGCAAACCTGGAGAAGGAAGCATGTAATTGGGGAAAAAACATTCCAGGGTGTGCATGTGTGAGACAAGAAATCTTGGCTCTGCAATATACCTCATCTCGAGCGTTCTTTAAGTAATTAGTTCCCTGAGTGCAGTTGAGATTAAGATTAATGTATGAGAATGTACATGATAAGATTTACACATAGCCTTTCAGAAATGCATTGGCTGGATAAAGATACATTTGTGATACTACAGGCTTGGGGAAAGTGCAAAGAAATATGAAATATAAATTAGAACGTTTGTGGTCTGTGATATACCCATGGAGGGTCGTGAGTACTCAAGTGTGTGTTTGTGTAGATAAAAATGTTCATTGTGTTATGAGTCTGTAAGGCCCTGGGAAGCAAGCTTATTAGAAGTACAAGGCACCAAGGAAAAATGGCATAATAGGAGCAGTAGTGGATGATTTTAAACACTAGGATGGTGGCTTAAGGACAAACAAGAGAGTTGAATGGCCATTGAATGATTGGTCTATGGGATATGTTTACTGGCTTCTTTATTGCACTTTTTTTTTTTTTAATGAATCATAATTGATTATATTTCTGGGATTCAATGTTGAAATATGTTGATCAAATCAATATTATTAGTACGTATATTGTTACAAATCATACTTACTCTTTATGCCCCTTGTCCAATCTCTCCCTATCCCCCTCTCCCTCCCCCTCCTAGCACTGATAACCATAGATTTCTTCTCTCCCTCTGAAAGAGTAATGGTTACTCTGTTGATTTGTTGCCTAGATGATCTGTCCAATGCTGAGAGGTGTGTTCAGGTCCCCCAATATTATCATAGAGCAGATGCTTCTTCTGTCACTCTGGAATGGGCTTTGTGGAGAGAGACATCCTCTTCTTTTTTCTTTGGTCTCTTCTGGTGACTCTCCTTGTGTCAATGCACTCTAGTGGCTGGCAGCCCATCTGTGTGCTGGTTGTGACATCTAGCCACTTTCACAGCAGCTGTGGTTATTGTGGTGGCTGTGGTGGTCACCCACATGGAGGTGATGTTTTTGGCATGCTCCTTGGTGCTGGTGGTGTGCCTGGATGTGGGCAGGTGGTCCAGTCCCTGGTTCCATACCCTGGGCCCCCAGGTGGGCCCTGAGGCACTGGAACTAATTTTTTGTCCTTTGCTTACTTCTAAAACAGGGGACTTCCTGTGGGAACCAGTACTTTATCTGTGTTGTTGAGCTAAATTGCTTCTTTGCTGCTGTTTCCCTAGGGAAGATTTTTTGTGTGGCTCAGGGTTTAATGGTTGACCTTATAGGTACTTCTGGCTCTCCAGAGACCCAGTGCACCTGGGTTGTGTAGAAACTCTGATCTGGGCCTGAATCTTTTCATCAAAGATTCGTGCAATTCTACATTCCTGACCAGTCTCCTCTGAGTGGTCCTGTCCTGATTGGGGGGCAGATCGGCTGTCCTTGCTGTGTCCCAGTGTTCTCCCATTGGGGCCATCTCCCCCACTGCCTGTGCTCCAAACACTTCCCATGGGACAGGCCCTGCACTGGTCCCTTGTGATGATTCACCAGCCTCTGAATGGCTCCCTTTTTCAGCTGTTTTGGCTCCTCGCTCCTGTGTGGGTCCACGGGAACCCTATTAGTGGTCTTGCTGTCCTGGGGGCCACCAATGCCCTCTTTTCCCCTGATGCCTCCGAGCAACTCTATTTGAAGCGCACAGCTGTGGCTTCTGCTGGTTCCTGCTCCATGCACTCAGCAGTTCCAGACTTAAAGTGGCTGTGGCCCGAAATGCTCTGAGCAGTTTTTTCTTTCTCTCATCATGGTTTCTCCACCTTCATGAACTCAGTAGGTCTCTCCTCCTCTTCCCCTGAGCTCCAGCGGCCCCAGCTTGGTTGTTGTTACATTTTTATAGTTGTTAATTGGTACTTTTTTTTTTCCAGACAGCACAGTCTTTATGCACCTCTTTCTCAAGCATCTAGTGTGTGCCAGTATATTGTTGCATGCTGGGGATACAGATATAAAAGCTAAAGTTTCCACCTGCAGGGAGGTCATGGTCTAGTGGGGAGACCTAGGTACAAGCAAGCACCTAGTTATTATACCTCTTTGATAGACAAGGAGACTGAAACTCAGAGATTCAGAGCTGTTTTACCTTCTTTATGCTGTACCATACTGCCTTTGGCACATGTCAGAATTGGGGCTGTTTGTCCCATTTCCCTCACTTCCTAGGTTCCCACCAAGGGCTAGTCCTTAATACCCTGCTGTGTCCACACTTAGTGAGAAGCATCAGTCTCTCTGCTTTGGTCTCTGAGAAAAGAGGGTGTGTACTGATAGATTATCTGAAACTGAGAATTTTACGTTAAATTTCCTAAAATAATCAACAAGATCTCATGAACTAAAAAGCTACTCTCAATATGTAATTGCACCCAAAGTGATCTGCAGATTCAATACAGTCCCCATCAGACTATCAATGACCTACTTCACAGAAATAGAAACAGCAATTCAGAAATTTATATGGAATAACAAGAGACCCTGAATAGCCAAAGCAATCCTGAGCAAAAAGAGCAAAGTGGGGGGCATCGTACTTCCTGACTTCAAAATATAAAACAAAGTGATAGTATCAAAACAACGTGGTATTGGCACAAAAACAGACACATAGACCAATGGAACAGAGAGAATTCAGAAATAAATCCATGTACCTACAACCAACTGATTTTTTTTTTTTTTGTGACTGATAAGGGGATCGTAACCCTTGGCTTGGTGTCACCCGCACCACGCTCAGCCAGTGAGCGCACCAGCCATCCCCATATAGGATCCAAACCCGCGGCCTCGGCGCTCCCAGCGCCACACTCTCCCGAGTGAGCCACGGGGTCGGCCCCAACCAAATGATTTTTGACAAAGAAACCAAGAACATACATTGTGGAAAGGACAGTCTTCAATAAATGGTGCCGGGAAAATTGGAGATCCTTATGCAGAAGAGTGAAACTAGACCCCTAACTCTTACCATATACCAAAGTCAACTCAAAATGGATTAAAGACTTAAATGTAAGACTCAAAACTATTTAGCTTCTAGAAGAAAACTTAGGGGAGACACTTCAGGACATAGGACTTGGCAAAGACTTTATGAATAATGCTTCAGAAGCATAGGAACAAAAGCAAAAATTAACAGATGGGATTATATAAAACTAAAAAGCTTCTACACAGCAAAGTAAATAATCAACAGCAAAAAGACCACCTACAGAATGGGAGAAAATATTTACAAACTATACATCCAACAAGGGATTAATATCCAGAATATACAGAGAACTCAAAACAACTCAATAATAAGAAAACAAATAATCTGATTAAAAAATGGGCAAAGGGCTGTCTGGTTAGCTTGGTTGGTTAGAGCACAGTGTTATGACACTAAGGTCAAGAGTTCAGATCCCTGTACCATCCAGCCACCAAAAAAAAACCCCAAAACCAAAAAATGGGCAAAGGAACCGAATCGATATTTTTCTTTTTTTTTCCTTTTTGTCTTTTTTACTGACCAGTAATGGGATCGCAACCCTCGGTGTCGCGCCCGTACCGGGGACCGGCAACAGGATCACAACCCTCGGTGTTGCGCCCGCACCGCGCTCAGCCAGTGAGCGCGGTCTCCACATGGGATCCGAACCCTTGGCGGGAGCGCCGCCGCACTCCCAAGCGGCGCACTCTCCAGTGCGCCACCGGGCCGGCCCCGAATCGACATTTTTCAAAAGAAGATGTACAAATGACCAACAGGCATATGAAAAAATGCTCAACATCACTAAAAGAAATGCAGATCAAAACTATGATTAGGTATTTTCTCACCATTGTTAGAATGGCTATTATCAAAAAGACAGAAAATATCAAATGCTGGCAAGGATGCGAAGAAAAGGGAATTCTTATACGTTATTGGTGGGGATGTAAATTAGTACAGCCACTTTGGAAAACAGTATGGAGATTTCTCAAACAACTAGAGATAGGTCTTCCATATGATCCAGTAATCCCACTACTGGGTATATATCCAAAGGAATGGAAACCATCATGTCAAAGGGACACCTGCACTCTCATGTTCATCATGGCTCTATTCACAATAGCAGAGAGTTGGAACCGACCTAAATGTCCTTCCATGGATGATTGGGTACATATAACAGTGGAATACTACTCAGCCATAAAAAGAATGAAATTCTGCCATTCACAGCAACATGGATGAGCTTGTAGAAAATTATGTTGAGTGAAATAAGCCAGTCACAGAATACCATGTTTTCACTCCTATGTGAAAGCTAAAATAGTTGATCTCATAGAAGTAGAGAGTAAAATAGTGATTACTAGAGACTGGTGGGGCGGTGGGGAAGGAAGGGTGGGGAGAGGGTAGTCAGTGGATACAAAATACTAGAGAGATAGGAAGAATGGGAGCCAAGTTTCTGTAGTAATGTAGGGAGACTACAGATAACGACAAAGTACTGTGTATCTTCCAATAGCTAGTCGAGATGATGTTGAATGTTCCTAACACAAAGTGACAAATGTTTGAGGTGGCGGATCTACTAAGCACCCTGATGTGATCATTGCACACAGTATGAATATACCCAAATATCACATTGTACTCCATAAATATATACAGTTATCATGGGTCAATTAAATAAAATAAAAAGAGAGGAAAAAAGAGAAATAGAGAATAGAAAAGTATTTATGAGAGGAAGGGAAAGAGAGGTGGAAGGGAAGGCCAGGGAAGGGCTGGTACACTGCTACAAAGTTACAGAGTTACAGTTAAGAAGAATAACCTGGTGCCCTGGGGTGACAATAGCTAGAAAAGAAGATCCTGAATTTTATAACCACAAAGAAGTGATAAATGTTTAGGTGGTAGATATGCTAACTATTCTGAGATCATTATACAATATATATGTGTATCGAAACAACAAACTGTTACATAAACATGTACGATGAAAAAAAAAAAAAAGACTTTTCCCACTTTTAAAAAATATATACTTGTTCCACCTATATACATTGTGTATAATTATACAGTATATAGTTGCCCCACCTATATATATTATTTATGAAAACTGTTTAATGAAGTTCACTGGGATAATGAATTTTTCATCTTTTCATGCATTCATCTTGCCATATCCCTTTGGGAAAAAGAGATGATTCTGCAAGAGAACAGTTTTCAGGTGAACAAAGAGCTTTCCAGGAAACTAGGGCCTATACCTCGGGCCTGCCAGGAAATATCAGATTTCTTATATTAATTTGATTTGGGGGAGATTCTAATGCATACTTGTGTGTTTCTCTTTCCCCAAGCAGATTTCCAGCACAAGTTCACGGTGCAGGCCTCCCCCACCATGGATAAAAGGAAGAGCCTTATCAACAGCCGTGCCAGTCCTCCTGCAAGCCCCACCATCATTCCTCGCCTTCGAGCCATCCAGTGTGAGACTGTTTCCCACATTAGTTGGGGCCAGAACACACCAGGGGCAGTGTCCCCTGCTCTGTCCAGCCACCGACTGGTCCAGGCTTGCTCCATCCATAACTTCTGCCACCTCTCCTCGACAATGTGTATATACATGCACATATGTACGCAAACCCTTAGCCTCCCCCTTGTCTCTCTCCACTAACTTTATTCCTACCTCCTTTACCTTTTATTCTTAGTCAGATATTAGCAAAAGGGCTTGTGGGTACTGACAGGATCTTTAGTGAATTATAAAGCAGTTTGTAAACTGGTGTGTGATGTAGATACATGTTGGTCCCCTGGCCTGGGGAGTTAACACACTCTCTGCCATATCTGGGGCATCACTGTTATTCTTTTGTCCATGCTTCCCAGAGAAGGGCTTTTGCAAAGTGTAGGTCCCAAGAAAACTTGCCAAGTGCTTTATAATAGGCCACTCTAGACCAATTTTATTTTTACTATAGTAATTGCTTAAAAATATATGTGTGTGTGTGTGCGCATGTGTGAATGAGTTAGTTTCCCTATTTTAAAGGTAGAGGGATTTCATTTAAAAATCCTGGATTTCTGGCTTTCCTTGAAAAATCAAGTCAAATCAGTGGGTCCCCTTTTTCATGTGGCCTCCATTAGCTGGAGCTGACAGTGGTTTCCATAAGATCCATGTTTTGCCTGAGTCCCATTTTTGTTAACTGGCTCACTTCACTCATTTATCATAAAAGCCCAGTCCCTGAGGCATCTGGGTCTCAACCCCTCCTCTAAGGAATCAGTGTCAGAAGAATGTTCCTCCTGTCTTATCTGTTTTATTTCTGTAAGCCTGTTCCTTCCCCCTCTCCTCCAGCTCCTGAATTCCTTCTCCATTACCTTAAATTCCCCATTTTATTCTTTTCCAGCTTTCTTCCCCAAATTTTGGCACTTCCATGTCTTCCTTACCCCTTATATATTTTTTCCCCACCCACCTCCTCATTCCCCTACCATCCAGTTCCACCCAACGAACAAGTTCCTTAAGTCAGATCTGTTTGGAACTCTGGTGTCTGCCTGACCTGAGCTCCAGCTTTGCATCAGACTGAAAATTTAGGAAGTTTTTTTATGTTTAGTACTTTGAGAGAGCTAATGATTGGTGGCTGAAAACTCCATTACTTTCCTGGAAGGGTCCACTTGGGCACAGAGTTTTCAATAAGACCTAACTTCCCTGAAGCTCGTGTGTGTGTGTGTGTGTGTGTGTGTGTGTGTGTGTGTGTGTGTGTGTGTGTGTCTGGTGGGGTAGAGGCTAGTTTTGTGGGGGGCCTGTCTGTCCATTTTCCAGATCTTATCCAATCTTTGTTATTCACAGTGACACCAGGTGAAAGCAGCAAAACCTGGGGCCGGAGCTCAGTCATCCCGAAGGAGGAAGGGGAGGAGGAGGAGAGGAGAGCTTCAAAGAAGAAGGGACGGACGTGGGGGCCAGGGACACTTGGTCAGAAGGAGTTTGCCTCAGGAGATGAAGGGTAAGAGCCAGGTGATTTGAAATTCTTTCTCACTTAAGGATGGGTGCACCAGGTTAAAAATATGATATGAAATACCTTTTTCTCTGTCATGTGTTTCAGTGCTTTCTGAGAAATTACAAACTTCTTGATCTTTACAACAGAATTTTCCAATCTACTTGTTCACAGAACCTCCTAGGACAGGGATTGGTAAAATTTTTCTGGAAAGGGCCAGATAATAAATATTTTAGGCTTTGTGATCCATGAGGCTGTGTTGCAACTGTTCACCTCCACTGTTGGAGCCCAAGAGCAGCCACAGACCATGAAAAGTATGTAAATGAATGAGCATGGCTGTGTTCTAGTTAAACTTTATAAAAACAAGTGGTGGGCAGCCTTCAGCCACCAGTTATAGTTTGCCCACCCCTGGAGGTGTTCTATTCAGAGTAGCAAGTAGCAAGTATTAACCAAATGTAAAAAGTTCTGCCTAATTGTTCTACCGAAACCTGGTTCTTCTCCTTAAAACATCTGTTCAAAGGAAAGAGAAGAAAGCAGAGATTAACAGGACTCTCTTGACTAGAGGCTCATCCTGAAGCAGGCGCAGGAAGAATAACCCAGCCCTGGTAGTGCAATTGAGTATACCTAACTCCAGGGCCACTAGAACTTCTTTTGGGCCACATCCCATAACCACATGGACACGTGTGAGTGCCCCTTCTGGGCAGAGCACAGTGGGACGTCGGTGCCTTGCATGTGCTTGTGTTTTCACTGTGGGCTTGAGGCCGAGGAGTCAAATTCTCCTGAGTCTCAGTTCTTCACTGGCCAGGCCCTCTGGTGTGGTGGTAGACGCACACGCCAGACTCCTGGCTCCACCATGCCTAGCTGTGTGATCTTACATGTTCTTATCTGCCAAATGGGGATAGTATTAGTATGCAGCTCATGGAATTGATCTGAGGATTAAATAAGTTCATCTCTGTGAAGTGCATAGAGGATTAGCTGGCTCCTAGTGAGCATATGTAAATATTAGCTCTGATGACCCATCCCCACTTCTCATGCACCTCTGTTTCATGCCTGAAGATGTGATGGTTTATACCTCTTATTCTCAGTGTTAAAATCTAGTGTGAGAGGGCCGGCCCGGTGGCGCACTGGATAGTGTGCCACTTGGGAAGCGCGGCAGCGCTCCCGCCCGAGGGTTCGGATCCCACATGCAGACCGGTTCCCGCTCACTGGCTGAGCGAGGCGCGGGAGCAACACCGAGGCTTGCGATCCCGTTGCCGGTCCCCGGTCTGGTACGGGGGCAACACTGAGGGTTGCGATCCGTTGCCGGACACGGAAAAAGACAAAAGACAAAAAAAAAAAAAAAAAAAAAAAAAAAAAAAAAAAAAAAA